TGAACCGCTTGTTTTGGGTTTAATTTTGTTTTGTTTGGTTGGGTTGTGGGTTGTTTTTAAATAATTATTCCCTCTCTTGTAAACTGTCAATAGCAAAGTAAATGTAAGAAAAACAAGTTTGCAGACACGTGGACCCTTTCTCAATGTGCTCCTCATGCATCTTAACTGTCCCAGAGCAGTGCTGTCACATGGACTGCTCTGTAAGGTTGGAAGGATGACCAGGTTTTTCTTTCTTTTCTTCTTTTAAAATGAGAGTTAAGTTGGAAGATCTGTCGTAATTTTAACAAACACTATGGACAGTCTTTAATTTATCTGTTGGGTTATTGGTTGCTTTTTTTTAATTACTCAAATCTGTTTTATGCCATTAGATGTGAATTTTTACTTCTAGCGATATCGACATTTGTTCATAAGCCCTTGTTTTCATTTTAATGATTTACTTTACTTATATTGTGCTTACGTATACAAAAGAGGTACTGGATGTTTTTTCCTTATTCTGCCTTATGTATTGTCATTTGAGATGACTCATTAGGATTGTATTCCTTAAGTGATGTGGAAGAACAGATTCTAAATTTGTCACACAGACACACAACATCAAAACACAACATCAACCCAGTTCTTAGCCCTTTGCTCAAGATGTGATAAGTGACAAACAGTTTTCCTGACCAGGTTCCTGAACATTAAGCATTTATAGAACATTATTTATGTTACTGGTAGTAATATCAACTTACAATTATGATCTTCTTAATTAAAAAATTGAAAATTTCCTTTTAAAACATGTGAAGTGAAGGTGCTCAAAATTAAGTTAGTTAAGAAAACAAGACGAAGAAGCAGCTTTGTTTTCTTTCCCCCTCTGAATACCTCTGAGCTGTGCTCTGCTCCCAGCTAAGGGGTTTTCTGGTTGGCTGTGGGGGTTTTATTTCCTTTTAAATCTTGATGTTCTGGTCTTTCATCCGAGTTAAGGAAGATTGAGGCAGCCTTTTCTGCTGTGGTTTGGCAACTTGAAGTGCTTTTAAAGTAATTAGAAATGTTACTCAGAGTAGGATGCTTTCGTATGCATGTGTTAGGAGCAGCACTGGAGCTGGGCAAGCTGGGCACATCCCTGAACCTCAGTTGCTCGTTGCCATTTAGCTTTCTGCCACACAAATCATAGGCTGGATAAATCACCCCAGGGAAGAATGTGGTGGAAAGCAGGCATCCTTCCTGCCTGGGGTACTGACAGCGTGGAAAACCTCTGCTTAAGCATAGCTAGAAACTTTTTCTAAAGTGAAATTTGATGGAGGACCAGGGTGAAGTGTTTCACAACGTGCTGTCTGCTTTATTTTTCTGATGTGGGAACAAACATGTTTTGAAACGTTCTCATTCTGCCTGTTGTTTGTTTTGTGACAAGGGTGCCCAGACCTCAGTTCCCGGCGAGGTGCGGTGCAGGAAGCAGCCGATGCTGGGTGGTGCAAGAGGAGGTGTGGCTCCTTGCCCCCGCCCCCCGCTTACACACCTCCTACTTCTTTCTCCTCCTTCAGCTTTCTTTCGACATTAGACTCAAAAATTTCTATCTTAAACTTTCCAGCCCCAAACCTGGTTGTAATATGTCCTTCATGGGTTTTTTCCTCCCCTCTTCTCAGCAGCCGGTAGCCATCCTGCAGTACTTGACGTGAGTGACAAGGAGTAGCTCCAGCTGCTGTTTGGGAATGGTTCTCTTGTCATGGCTCAGAAATACTTGTACCAAAATAAATAACCTAGTAATTTATGAACTAACAAATTGAAATTGTGTGACAGATGGATAGCTACTGCTTCTCAGAACAGATGACAGGAACAAAGCTTAGTCTGAACTGGGGTACATTTGCATAAGGTGAATATTTGCCCATATCTGAGTAGCTATAACTTTTAAATCAATCTGTTTGTTCTCAAGCTTATTTTTCTACTTTGAATTTGCGTTTTCAGCTTGCATCATTGGTTGGTTGGTTTCCAATTTAACAACTGTTGATGCCTATAAAAATACACAGTAATTAGAACAGCTAGCCTGATAAGGCTGCAAATCTCTGAACAACACTTTTTTGTTACTAGGAGGTGTCAGTGTAAAGTCCACGCAAGAGGTGATTTAGCTTGGGTGTGTACAGGTGATGCTAAGATTAAAGTTAGTGATAAGTAGCACTAGTCTTTTCCATAATCTCCCCATTAGTGTTGGTATGCAACATGTTTACTGCATGTCTTGCATCTATGTTAACCCTACAATGTGTTGGACTACCCAGGTTCTACATAGATCCTGCTGTGCATTTGACCATGCCAGCTGCTCATAGTCACCTTCTAAGTGTGAGATACCGGTAGCATCTGACTGTCTCTCTTCTGGTGTAGGAAGCCAAATGCTGCAAACCTTGATACGTTTTATGTTAAATTAAAATGAAATTGTTTCATCTCAGGAAACAAGATGCAGCTTTCATTACAAACTGAGAAACTCAAAACTCCAGCATAGTCATCATAATTAAAATCAAGGCAGTTTGGATAGGCTTGAAAATATGTGTAAAGAAGCCTTGGCTTAGAGTTGCAGACGTGTTACTCTGTGTGTAAATGCTCTTTCATTCATTTGCGGTTGTGGGCATGAAAAATGCCCATTCCACGTGGGCGAGGGTGGTGTCAGTTGAGATGCACAATGCACAGGATTTCTTCAGCTGTGTATTTCGTTCAGAAATTTTCAGCTGACAAGTTGCAAATCAGTGTCTGCTCCTGCAGCACGTGCTGTGTTGGAAGTCACACGGACTGTTTAGACAACAGGCTTAGTTTTGCTCATCTCCTTCCAAGTGTTAGGAAATGAACAGTTTCCTAATCCATATGACATTGTTGTTGTTATTTGTGTTATAGCTTGTGTTAGGTGCTGTACAAACACAGAATGCAGCAGCTTAGCTTCAGACCTCATACAGTTGTGCGTGTGCATCAGAGCTGTTACCTCCCTGGCTGTTCCTGGGTCTCTCACAGCACAGAAAAGCAACGTGAACACAAGACCACAAATATGACTTTCGGCCTAAAATTACCGTCTTTATTCACATTTTAAAATAGCCCCTTATAGGCTGGGATATTATTTGGTGTGAGTCATATCTTATTTTTCAAGAAACAAATTTGTTCTGATATGAGTAAGTGAAGCAGAATCTGCTCTTAGCTAAGTCCTATTAATGTGCTTACTAGTATGAGTGTGAGTAGTGGAAGGAGGTGACAATCTGGACACTTCCAGCATAGCAAAGCCATGACATGTTAAGAAACTGTATCTAAGAATATATTCAGATGAATACAGAAATGTTTTTAAGGCTTTTATTTTAATGCACTGTGATACAGATGTACATATCTGTATATACCAGAGGCAGGAAAACAAGTTTTCTGGTCTTCATATAATGTGCTCTTTCTGGCCTAAATCATGGAAGAAAGATGTTCAAAGGGACATTTCAGGTCCTGTGGCTGAGTTAATTGGACTAGTGGACACTGCTCCCTCTGGAATGTTTAAAGTTGTCTTTCCTGGAAAAAATTGTTTGCACTAACAGATGATGGAAAGCAAAGCTGTCTGCTGTATTACTATTATTAATAATTATTATTTCCTCATCTTTTCCCCCAGTCTCCCTCTGTTCTGTTCAAAGGCACATCTAACTGTTCCTGGTATTTTTAAAAGAAATTGCTCATAAGGGAAGTGTTCACTGATGTAGATGAGTATTTAAAGCTCAGCTGAGCAGCACATGGGCTGTTTCCTACTGCTGTGAGCACACAGTTTGGTTATAGCCAGGCATAGCATTAGGCTGATAACATCATAAACTAGACAAAATGGTAATGCAATCCAAATATTTGTGCTGCCTGATTTGTCCTGATCACATCTGCTTACTGTAATAATTTTTTCTTGGTGAAGTGTGTATTTGTTTTCTTTTGGGGTTTTTTCCACTTTTATCAAAGCAAATTCTTGTGTTTCATCTATCAGCAGAGCTGCTGTTCTGAGTTTGAGTGAAGTTTTTGAATGCTTGTAATGAATGAGCTGGGAAAAAAATTACTTTGCCTCTTTGATGCCATGGATAGTTTGCAAGGCTAACATATTTGTTCAGTATGGAAATGTGATGAGACCATACATACATCCTTTTCATGCTAATCCAAAGAAAGGCAATTTTCTCATCATATTATAAGGGTTTAACTGTCTGCTACAGCTGCAGTGGTCCATACCTTGCATTTGTTTCTTAAAAAAACTGAGATAAAGTAATGCCTAGTTGTGAGAGCTTTTTTTTTTCCTTTTCTCCTTTTTAGAACAAAATTGAATTATAATCCTCCAAAGGATGATGGCTCAACCTACAAGATTGAACTTGAAGGGATATCTGTTGATATCATGAAAGAGATACTAGATTACATCTTCAGTGGGCAGGTATGGTATTAAAAAAAAACACTACAGGGAAATTGAACTATTTGGCAAAATAACCTGGGCTTTAACACTACTACCCTGAAAAATTAACCTGTTGAGTTTTAAAGCTTTGTGATGACACTTCCACAAAGCCATACATATCACTGGGGCTGTGCATGTGAAGCAGAGGCAATAGGCTCTGCAGGAGTTATCTTCTCATGTATGGGGGGAGGACCCTAACAGAATCAAGTGCTTCTATTAAAATTTTTGGCTACCTTCAGTAACCTGCTTTAAAACATGCAGTCTGTGAGAGCTGTTAAAGAGAACTGGTTTGACAGAGATTGAGACCCCATCACTGAACATGATGATCCATCAAGCACCCTCCTTACTGAGCCCCATGCCCACCTCTCCCACCCTATGTTGCTGACAACGTGCCCCTTCGGATCGTTGTGCCAGCCGCCTTAGCAGGAATTAAAGTCAGTGTGTCCAGTTTATCCAGAACCAGACTGAGATTGCTGAATGAGTTTAACTTTCAGCAGAAAAAGAAAAGGCTGGTGTGGCTTGAAGTTCTCTTCTGGACATGCATTTTAAAACATTATTTACTTATTGCAGTAAAATTAATGTTAGGTTGCCAGATCAGATGAGCAGTTTTATGGTTACTTCAGGTGCAAAATTGTGCTTGACACCTTCTGCCAAGGAAATGTCTTTCCATCCCCTATGTTAATTTAGAAACATTCAGTAGTCATATCAGTTTCTCCTAATGTTTACACTGGCATTAATACTCCAGTTTTCAGCCCCTGAGAATGAGTGTAATGAATGCAGACATGTCATGAAACAAATGAGTGATAGTAGCTATAACTTCTAAATTAATTCTTGCAGATCAGGCTAAATGAAGAAACTATCCAAGATGTGGTACAGGCAGCTGATCTCCTGCTGCTTACAGACTTAAAAACTCTCTGCTGTGAGTTTTTAGAAGGTTGCATAGCTGCTGAGAACTGTATTGGTATTCGGGACTTTGCACTGCACTATTGTTTGCATCATGTTCACTACCTTGCCTCAGAGTATCTGGAAACTCATTTTCGAGATGTCAGCAGCACAGAGGAATTCTTGGAACTGACTCCTCAAAAACTGAAAGAAGTGCTGTCAATGGAAAAGCTCAATGTTGGAAACGAAAGATACGTCTTTGAAGCGGTGATTAGGTGGATTTCTCATGATTCAGAATCGAGAAAGGTCAGGACATCCAAATGTTTGTGTTGTGAATGGGGCCCAAATTGGTGTGTTTATTCTAATCAGTGGGACTTAAAACAGAGATGTTTATTCTAGGGCTAATCTTGCACTTTCACAAATCTTGAATTTTGTCTGCACTATTGCAGCAAAAGGGTGAAAAATGTGTTTATGATGTATCATCTGTTGTCTTTATTATTTAATGGGCATTAAGAAAAAAGTACCTCTTTGGTATTTGATGATACAATTTTGTTTTTGTAGAGAGAGAACAAAGTAGCATGTTTGTAATGAAACTTTGAAGACTTGAGGCATTTTCTTAATAACATTGTGCTGTAGATTTTGTTATTGCTTCCAAGTATCAAAAATACTCTTTAAGTTTATAAAATACTTAAGACATTAAGTCTTAGGTTAGACATTAGGAAGAAATTCTTTATGTGAGGGTGGTGAGACACTGGAACAGGTTGCCCAGGGAAGTTGTGGAGGTCCTGTCCCTGGAAGTGTTCAAGGGCAGGTTGGATGGGTCTCTGAGCAACCTGGTCGAAGTGTCCCTGCCCATGCAGGGGGCTGGAACTAGAAAGTGTCCCTGCCCATGAAGGGGGTTGGAACTAGATGAGCTTCAAAATCCCTTCCAACCCAAACTATTCTATGATATGATTCTATGATGATAAATACAGAAGCATCTGTCCATACAAGTGCCTTACCCCTGCCCTGTGAAGTTTGGTGGATTTTCTGGCATTTCTCTCCTTCTATAGGTTCATATGAAGGATGTCATGTCAGCAGTGTGGGTTTCAGGCTTGGATGCAGCCTATTTACGTGAGCAGATGATGAGTGAGCCACTGGTACGGGAGATCGTCAAAGAATGCAACAACATCCCGCTGACGCCGCCGCAGCAGGGAGAGGCCATGCTGGCCTCCTTCAAGCCCCGGGGCTACTCCGAGTGCATAGTGACTGTTGGTGGAGAGGAACGAGTGTGAGTATCAGGTGGCACTGCAGCTCATTACGGTTAGGGAAATGCAAGTGTCTGGTATTTGTGGCATGTCTGAAAACACAGCGTGGAGAGAATACGTGCACCTACTGTGCCTATTAGTCGGTCATTTGGGTTTGTTTTCAAGTTGGTCAGGCAACACCTAAATGGCTTTGTGAGTGATTCAGCCATAAACGGTTATTTTGTGATAATTTTCTGGCATTCAACAGGTAGTTGACTTACAGTAGGACATGTTTGTTCAGTAAGGGTTTTGTTTTTTTAAACTAAATAGACTTTACTCAGAATAAGCACAGAACAGTGGAGAAACACTCTTTTAATTATCTAAAAAGCATTTATATAATTCTTAAAAATAAGGAACATGTGCTCTAACTGTTTTGTTTATAATAGCTGGGGTTCCAAAGAAAAGTCATTATTGTTGCATCTGAGGTGACAGGTGAAAACTCCAGTTCCACACAATCCCTTTCTTTTCTTGAGTACCCCTTGCAGTAGAAGGGAGGTTTTGTCCTTTTTGAAACAAGTTCTGCACTTCAATGTTTGCGCTTTATAGAAATGTCATAAAATGTTCAAATAACATTTTTCACATAGCTTGTGGATTGCTTTACTCAGACATACCCTTTATCAGTTCTTCTTAGTTTGTTCAAAGTTCCTTCATAAAACAATATCACAGGTAGATACAGTACAAATTAAGTGTATCTGCTTTTTGTGTCTCCAGTCTGTAAAAAATAAATTTACACATTCTTGGTTTGGGATTCCTCTCCTTGTCAGGGAAATGCTTTATGAATGTATATTAAATCACAAACAAGCAAGTTTCAGACACAAGTTGTTAACAGTGAACTTGTAAAACTGTCTTGTCTTTCTGTTTTTGTTTATTCCTTCCTTGCCCTGTGTTCAGATCACGGAAACCAACCTCAGTGATGCGGTGCATGTGTCCTCTTTATGATCCCAATAGACAGCTCTGGATTGAACTTGCTCCTATGAGTATTCCAAGGATCAATCATGGAGTATTGTCAGCAGGTAAAGGGGAACTCTGTATTTGTGAAGTCAATACTATGAAAACTTACCAGTGCCTCAAAATCTGAGATACAGTTGATTTTTTTTCTTAAAGATTGACTGCACTGGGGTTATTTCATACTTCCCCTTTGTCTGCCCAAAACCTTATATTATTCTGTGAAAATCCCTGTCATCTGAGTGTCTTAATATTACTATTCCCTCAGTATTTTGTGGGAATCTGCTACATCTGTCTCTCCAGGAGTATTTCATGTTTTAAGTAAATTCTAGCTGCTGCATCACTGAATATGTTGAAGACTGTCTGCAGTGGTAGACTTGAGTCCAGGTTAATAAAGACATACTTTACCTTCCCAGTCCAGAGTCTGACCTCTGACTGGTCTGAATCTCTTAATGAATTCCATTATACAGCTCACCAGTCATGTTGTCTTGCTCACAGGTGTGAATCCTGTTTTTAAGATCGTATTACATTTTGTTTTACAGAAGGATTTTTATTTGTGCTTGGTGGTCAGGATGAAAACAAGGGAACGCTAAACTCTGGAGAGAAATATGATCCAGATACCAATTCATGGAGTTCCTTACCACCAATGAATGAGGCAAGATCACTATCTCACTCTTGGGATTAGATTTTTTTTTTTCTTTGGCAAAATGTTCTTTTTGTTCTGCAAACTTTTGTTCTGAGTCTCCAGTCACTTGCATCTTCCACATTCAAAATTGTACTCCAGACTGCCTTCTGTGTAGATCCTCTTGTTGTACTTGTGGTCTGATAATGAATTCTGAGTCTGGAAAAATGAAACTTACTAGTGAAGAGCTAGCTGTCAAGCTGAACTACGAAATTTCAGCAATTCCACATGGAACCAGTCATATAATAGACTTAATCATGTGCTTCCTTTGTGTTGTACACTCTGATGTGGAGCTGGACTGTGCAGAAAAAAAGATGGACAGAGGACTGGCCAACATGCAGACCTTGACTTGCAGAGACACATTTATATTTGTTTGGTTTGAGTTAATGTTTCCTTCTTTACATTTGCATTCCATCAAAAAGTAGCAGTTGACTATTTGTAAACATATATCCTTAATATAGATGTGTTCTTATCTTCTTAAATAAGCACAGTGTTTATATTGAGAAATGGTTGTTTGCCACAGGATTAAAGTCTCTGGTTGGCAAAAACCTGGAGTTTTGGCCACGTTTGTAGTTGCAATGAAGTAAGTTCCCTTTTTACTGTGAGACTGAGGGCAGCTGTGCTGCTACAGACAAATCAGATGAGCTGCCTTTTCATGGATCATGGTTTCAAACTTGCTGCTGTAGAGACCTGAAAGCAACAGGTTCATCGTGGTGACCACCACTATGGAAACTGAAATACAGCCAAGCTCTCCTCTCACCTTTCTTTGTGGTCTCTTATGCTTTTGCTGCTCTGTTTTCTTTTGTTTTTCAGTACCTTTTGTTTTGCTTAGTTGAAGAAATTAACAATCTTATTCTGGAGCTTAAGATTTCACCATTTAAACCAAAACATTGGACATCATGTCAGTATCACTTTGCAGACAGATGTGCTGAAAACCAGATTGTATTGATGTATTCTCCATGGCAGTTATGTTTTACAGTGTTGACTTTATTGATATTCCTTAGGCACGGCATAATTTTGGTGTGGTAGAGATTGATGGAATTCTGTATATTCTGGGAGGTGAGGACGGGGAGAGGGAGCTCATCTCTATGGAGAGCTATGATATTTATAGCCGGACCTGGACCAAGCAGCCTGATTTGACCATGGTTAGAAAGGTAAGAACTGTATCCTGTGTTGTATCATTCAATAGTTAATGACTGTATGTCAACCTTTTGCTTCAAGCAGAAGCTGTAACTAATAGTCTCAAGATTAAGCAAGAGACAGCAGCTTCTTTATTTATATACCAAAACAAAACTGTGGCTGAGAAGTTTTGGGCATGGTGTTATTTGACATGTGGTGCAGGCAGCCCAAATACTTACGTGTGTATGTGTGTGGGGTTCGTTCTGAGCTCTCGATACTGTGCATTTGTGTGTCATTTTAGATGTACTTTTTCTTTTTCCACAAGATTGGCTGCTATGCAGCTATGAAGAAGAAAATCTATGCAATGGGTGGAGGCTCCTACGGAAAACTCTTTGAGTCTGTTGAGTGTTATGACCCGAGGACTCAGCAGTGGACAGCAATCTGTCCTCTGAAAGAGAGGAGGTCAGTGAAAATGGAAGGGGGGAGCTAGATGGCTGTGTAGTACCTTTTTTAACACTGATGAGAGAAAGTTGTCCTTTCTCTGATGAATCCCCAAAGGTGGCTGTCAGAGGCCTTGTGATTTTCACCATGTCCTTCTGAGTCATGGTGGCCTGTAGTTAATGTGTGGCTGAGTAAAGAGAAGCATCCAGTGCATAAATGTGAATTTTGTAGAGATATGCTCCTGATGTTACAAGCAATGGTTCCCTGATGCAAAATGAAAACTAAAAATTGTCTTTCAACTGGAACTTCAGAATTTTTTCCAGTACTTCAAATACTTTGCTGCTTTGTTCTTTTATGTGGTCTGAATTAGGTGCTTACGATTCATATTCATGACTCATCTTGTTGAACGTGTAAGGGGGGGTGTGTATAAAAATAAAAATAAGTGTAAAAAATGGAGCAAGTTGAGAAGGATGTCTGAAATGGTTTTCATATATGGCTTCTTTTTTTCTCATTTGGATTCTCAGATTTGGGGCAGTGGCCTGTGGAGTTGCTTCTGAGCTTTATGTATTTGGTGGGGTCAGAAGTCGTGATGACAGTCAAGCCAGTGAGATGGTGACGTGCAAATCTGAATTTTATCATGATGAGTTTAAAAGGTAACTACCTGCATCCAGAAACAGAACATACCTGCCTTACACACTCACCTGTCTGTCCCCCTCCCTTCCCCCAGCACTTCAAAGCATATTAGACCAGTGTCCTTCGTCTCTGTTGTTCATTTTACTTTTTATGATCCAATGTGGCTGTTACTAAAGGTCCATCTGTTTCAGTGGCTTGTCCCTCTAAGATACCAAGCTCAAACCCAGGGCCCCCATGTCACTTTTGGGTGCCCCTAAAGGGGAGAAACACCTTGATGGTGCAGGTGTTTGCCTGATCCTTCCCCTGCACCCTGCTGTTTCCCAAGGGCAGGGTACTGCTGCCCCCCATATGTGCTTCCTTTGAGTGCCCATGGAGGAATTTAAGTATGTACAGAGATACTTCTCCATGGTTCAGTCCTATCTCCAGGGATTTGTAGCTTAGGGAATTCCTAAGCTAGAGATAAGAAATTTAATGCATTTTTGTTTCAAGCATTTGTAGTTGATAACTTTTGGAACCTATGTAGGCTGTTGCCATAGGAAAGACAGACACTATGGGTGCTCTCCATTCACCAGCCTCAGCACACTGTACCTGGCTCTTCTTTTGTTTGTTTGTTTTAAATCTGCTTCTGATTACTTCATTTGTTATCTCTTGGCTCTGGAATTGGAATCCACCTCATTACATGTGGTAACTATTAAAAATCTTACAGTAGACATTGTGGGTTTTTCCTTGCATATAACTATAAATCAGATTATTCTCTTTTTTATAAACTAAATTGAAAAAGGGTTTTGTGGTCAGATGTTTCAAGGCTTGTTGACAGTGGAGGAGATTAACATGTCTGTATTACAAGATCAAGATTGATTTATGATTTTGACCTGTGTAAAAGCACACAAAAATAGAATAGTAGATGTTAATTCATTATATAATTTTCTTGCAAGACGTGGATGCAAAGAAACTTTAATTTCTTTATGAAGAGGTCTTCTGTGTTGTTCAAAGTGGTGTCTAAACTAGTTATAATCAAATGAAGCTGTAGAAAAGCTCATCTCTATGGAGAGCTATGATATTTATAGCCGGACCTGGACCAAGCAGCCTGATTTGACCATGGTTAGAAAGGTAAGAACTGTATCCTGTATCATTCAATAGTTAATGACTGTATGTCAACCTTTTGCTTCAAGCAGAAGCTGTAACTAATAGTCTCAAGATTAAGCAAGAGACAGCAGCTTCTTTATTTATATACCAAAACAAAACTGTGGCTGAGAAGTTTTGGGCATGGTGTTATTTGACATGTGGTGCAGGCAGCCCAAATACTTACGTGTGTATGTGTGTGGGGTTCGTTCTGAGCTCTCGATACTGTGCATTTGTGTGTCATTTTAGATGTACTTTTTCTTTTTCCACAAGATTGGCTGCTATGCAGCTATGAAGAAGAAAATCTATGCAATGGGTGGAGGCTCCTACGGAAAACTCTTTGAGTCTGTTGAGTGTTATGACCCGAGGACTCAGCAGTGGACAGCAATCTGTCCTCTGAAAGAGAGGAGGTCAGTGAAAATGGAAGGGGGGAGCTAGATGGCTGTGTAGTACCTTTTTTAACACTGATGAGAGAAAGTTGTCCTTTCTCTGATGAATCCCCAAAGGTGGCTGTCAGAGGCCTTGTGATTTTCACCATGTCCTTCTGAGTCATGGTGGCCTGTAGTTAATGTGTGGCTGAGTAAAGAGAAGCATCCAGTGCATAAATGTGAATTTTGTAGAGATATGCTCCTGATGTTACAAGCAATGGTTCCCTGATGCAAAATGAAAACTAAAAATTGTCTTTCAACTGGAACTTCAGAATTTTTTCCAGTACTTCAAATACTTTGCTGCTTTGTTCTTTTATGTGGTCTGAATTAGGTGCTTACGATTCATATTCATGACTCATCTTGTTGAACGTGTAAGGGGGGGTGTGTATAAAAATAAAAATAAGTGTAAAAAATGGAGCAAGTTGAGAAGGATGTCTGAAATGGTTTTCATATATGGCTTCTTTTTTTCTCATTTGGATTCTCAGATTTGGGGCAGTGGCCTGTGGAGTTGCTTCTGAGCTTTATGTATTTGGTGGGGTCAGAAGTCGTGATGACAGTCAAGCCAGTGAGATGGTGACGTGCAAATCTGAATTTTATCATGATGAGTTTAAAAGGTAACTACCTGCATCCAGAAACAGAACATACCTGCCTTACACACTCACCTGTCTGTCCCCCTCCCTTCCCCCAGCACTTCAAAGCATATTAGACCAGTGTCCTTCGTCTCTGTTGTTCATTTTACTTTTTATGATCCAATGTGGCTGTTACTAAAGGTCCATCTGTTTCAGTGGCTTGTCCCTCTAAGATACCAAGCTCAAACCCAGGGCCCCCATGTCACTTTTGGGTGCCCCTAAAGGGGAGAAACACCTTGATGGTGCAGGTGTTTGCCTGATCCTTCCCCTGCACCCTGCTGTTTCCCAAGGGCAGGGTACTGCTGCCCCCCATATGTGCTTCCTTTGAGTGCCCATGGAGGAATTTAAGTATGTACAGAGATACTTCTCCATGGTTCAGTCCTATCTCCAGGGATTTGTAGCTTAGGGAATTCCTAAGCTAGAGATAAGAAATTTAATGCATTTTTGTTTCAAGCATTTGTAGTTGATAACTTTTGGAACCTATGTAGGCTGTTGCCATAGGAAAGACAGACACTATGGGTGCTCTCCATTCACCAGCCTCAGCACACTGTACCTGGCTCTTCTTTTGTTTGTTTGTTTTAAATCTGCTTCTGATTACTTCATTTGTTATCTCTTGGCTCTGGAATTGGAATCCACCTCATTACATGTGGTAACTATTAAAAATCTTACAGTAGACATTGTGGGTTTTTCCTTGCATATAACTATAAATCAGATTATTCTCTTTTTTATAAACTAAATTGAAAAAGGGTTTTGTGGTCAGATGTTTCAAGGCTTGTTGACAGTGGAGGAGATTAACATGTCTGTATTACAAGATCAAGATTGATTTATGATTTTGACCTGTGTAAAAGCACACAAAAATAGAATAGTAGATGTTAATTCATTATATAATTTTCTTGCAAGACGTGGATGCAAAGAAACTTTAATTTCTTTATGAAGAGGTCTTCTGTGTTGTTCAAAGTGGTGTCTAAACTAGTTATAATCAAATGAAGCTGTAGAAAAAACATTGTTTAATGTGGTTATAGGAATCAGACAGATAAGACAGGTTACTGCTACTGACACTCTTAGCATTTTCTAGCCCTGTAGGGGTGTGGGGAAGTGCTGAAAGCTGATTGCCTTTTTGGCAAGAGGTCTTTGACTTTGAAAGTGAAAGAATTCTGGGAAGAAGTGCTCCCTTACCTCTTAGTTGCTATTTTTAGTTGATTTGCCTGAAACATTCTGTTCTTCAAAAGGTGGTGGTCAAAAGGTAGCTCGTGGTCCCCCACCAGTGACAGTGAACCAGTGTCACTGGTTGGTGCAGACTGAGCTTTCATCGGGTGGAGTTTGAAAAATCTGAGCGGTTCCAGCCCTGGTGCTGCAGGTGAGTCCTTGGTGCCACCTGCTGACTGCAGCACCAGTGCCTGCCCGGCAGTGCTTCTGATGTGTGGGTTTGTGTCTTTGTCTGGTGGTTTGCACTGCAGCTGGGTCACAGGTTGTGTGTCCTTCTTTGGAAAGGGGGGGCCAGGAAGTCTGGGATGAGGGCCAGTGCTTGGACAGCCAGTGATGCTGGTGGGGGATGTGCTGTCCCGTTTGGAAGGCCCAGGGTTCCAGCCTCCCAGGCAGAGGGGGTGTCACTGGCCAGAAGAGGGTGCAGTGTTACTGTGCTATGTACTAGCACTCAGTCCCTGGAGCCCAACAGTTACCCCACATTTCTGGCTGCTGGCGGTGGGATGGTTGGATGGATGCCTTCAGGGTGGCTGTGGCAGTGACTGTGAGACCTGAGCAGCTGTGTGGAGAAGAGAGAAAATAGCCATAAAGGAACTTCCCTTCAAAATACAGTTAGCCAGTATTTCTGCCTGCCAAATCCTGAGACAAAATACTCTGTTGTCTGATAATCTTCTTTGAAGTAAGATTGAATCTGGAAAATTATCATAATTAAATTATAATAGTGTTTCACAAATATCACATGAATGCCCAATGAAGGCAAATGGGCTCCTTGGAAAACACGAGGGTGTAACTTCCTGGGCTGATGCAGAAATAGAGAGTAAAGCACAAGTGATGCTATAGATTTTGCCACTGGTGGACTCTGTCTCTCTCAGTTCCACACAAAGTGCATTGTTCATGTGGTATGTACAAAGACTGAGTCTTCATCTTAAACATCATGCAGGGGTGGTTAATTTATAATATGTAAGTGCATTTACTTCTTCAGCAACAGTTTCTGAAACAAATATAGGTGATTAGTTCCCTTCAAACCAGCAACTGCAGGACGTCATTGTGAAGGATGTAAGCACCTTCAGACTCCACAGCTCATAATCTTTTTGTAGTTACAGTGACAATACTGGTACTGTCAAAGCTGAAGTACCACACTGACAGTGTGTGTGTATGTTACTGCCAGAAGTCCAAGAGGGTTAAGAGAGATTTGTAGAAAGGAGGAATGTGTTTGCAAGATCATTTAGCAGTAGTGGGTCAAAAGTAATATCTATAAATTCTAGCAGTCTCTAACCAAAATTCATAGTGCTTTTTTAATGGTTGCATAGTGGTTTTGCATACTCCATAATGAGCTACAGATTGTTCCACCTGTTTTTAAGGAAGTACAGAACTCCATCATGTGCACTTTCTTTTTGAGTTGAAAGAATTTTTGGTAGCGTGAGCTCAGCCATCAGACGTTGGTTTACAGGTACGTGCAGCAATGCATGCAGGTGTGATCTGCAGCATTTTTCACGTGCCTCAGCTCTCATTGCCTGGGAATACAGGATCTGGCATCATCCTAGGCATCCAGAGTCCATGAGGAGCTGAGCTGTGGGTTTTCTTTAGTGTCTGAGTATGTACTTAGATCATTATATAAACATACTAATTCATATAAACCAGTATAATTCTGGCTTGCCTTGCATTAAAGGACTGAACTTCAGCTTGTTTAATACTACTTACTTTGACAGTAGCTTACTCCAGAGTAACTCACAGTGCACAGTCTTCCAAAATTGTTACTCTTAACCATGACACAGACTCTTCTGAAGGCTAGGAATATGCTGAGGTCTTCACACTAGTAAAACATAAACATTGAGACTGCTGTTAAGCTATACTGTATGAACAAGTAATAAAATAAATGAAATGTGGACAGGATCGTGGAGAAAATAATTACCATATTTGAAGTGCTGCTGTAACTGATTTTTTCAATTAATAAATGCTTTGTCAGCCTGTCCTTATAATCATGTGCATGAGTGAATTTAAGTGAACTGAGGACAGAAAATGTCTACATCAGACTGCAGGTTTTTTCAGGATGTATATTTTTTTCCCAAAGGCTATAGACTGAGCTGTGTGTCTTGTATCCTGTTTTTAAAAATATCGATCAAGCTTAAAATAGATTTTAAAAAAATGTGAGAGTGGGAGATGGAGATGTCAGGGTATCCTTTGCTCAATGATCCAGTGTTGGTCTGCTCCATAAAAAGCAGGACATCTTAACCAAGACCTTGATGGCTCAATCTTTCCTTCTGCCAGAAGTAGAAGGATCACGTAGGTTTGTGGAGAAATGGACCATGTCTGTACATGCTGCTGGTTTTTTCCATCCAGTGTGGATATGTGGCCATGATTCACAGAGCACAAATGTGCTTTAGGATTCTTCACAAGAGCAGCTGGTGGAGCTCTGTCCTTGGGTATGGCCACTGCTGCCCTTCACTGCTGGTCTGTAAGTGGGATGGGCTTCCTTCCTTCTTGTCATGAGCTCCTGCTTCAAAAGCATTAACAAAATTGGCAGGTTTTTAGGGGAATAAAACAGAGAGATACTTGTTCAGAAGCAATACTTGGTGAAAACCCCTTTAAAATACTATTTTTGCTGCTGGGACATGGTAATCATAAAGAAATGCTTTCAGCAGTGTGTGAGCAATGAACTAAATAATCTTGTCACAAAGTATGTGTGATTAGGAAGATTCTCTCTCCCATTTAGTGTGCTGGAGTCTCATTAAAAGAAAGTGTTTATGCAAACGTAATGAGAAAATGAGCTGGCTGACTGATAGCACTGTCAGGTGAGGGGGACAGGGAAGAGATTTTCATGTATTTGTAGGCATCCCTTCACAGCTGGTGGGATTGAATGTATTTGTAGGCATCCCTTCACAGCTGGTGTGAGCTTGAGGTGCCAAGTCTGGAATATGTTGGTTCTGTATCACATTTATCGTTACTTCCTACTTGGAAATAAAGCAGTTACCATCCTGCTTATTAATTATAGCAGTATGGATGTGGTGGGTGTTTTTTTTGTTTCTATCACTTTAAGATGGAAAGCAAAGTCAGGCTTCTTTCCCCCCCCCTTTTTTTTTTTTCCATTTGAGTGGGAGCACATTTCAGTTTCAGAGCAATCCCTTCTGTCTGTGGTTGCAGAGGTACAGTCCTCTGCCCTGCTGCCCTCAGCTTCGGTTTGAGCAGAGCCATCCCAGGGAAGTATGCAAGAGTTATGTTCCAAGGAGTGTTTTCAAATCCCTGGATATTGTGAATTTCTTGTCATGGTGTTTTTTCCATGCTGTTCAAACAGCAGGCACAACCCACATTAAGCTGGAGCTTAGTCAAATTCTGGTGCAGCATGACCCTCTGCCCTTCCTGTCTTTGTTCCTTCCTGGTTCTAACTGCTGCAGCTGCTGTAAGCGTTCCTGAAAAGTTGTGTCTGTTTTTTAAAGTGTGTGTCTTGAGAAAGGTTAAGAATTAATTTTCACAAGCAACTACAGATACCTTAATATTGTCCTTTCTTGATGTGCAAGAGGAAAATGCCTGGGTCCCACACTGTTGTGGGGTTTTTGTATTTAAGCCCTGAGTGTATAGCACAGACAAAATAACAGACAGCTAATCTTTTCATTTGGCCTTTAAAAATTGATCTGTCTCTCCAAGATAATTGAATATGTAGCAGCCTTTTCCTTCAGTGCCAGAAGAGAGGCTTACTTCTGAAAACATGGGTTAAGATAATGCAGAATTTTTAAAGGTCAGCAGTGTCCGTGAGATTATTTCCTAACCTTTTCCCTCAAATCAGCAGGTATGAAAATACGTGGAGTGCTTTCCAGAGCTTTTTCAAACTTCCCTGTTATATAGAAATTATTTAATAAAATATCGAGGAGCAGTTGCCTAAAATAGCGTTGATTTGTGTGCCTTCAGGGTCTGTAAGTAGGAGCTGTCACAGCACGTGCAGAAGTGCAACAGCATTTTGTAGAAATTAGTTTCAGAGCCACAGAGAGGATACTGACAACTCTAGATAAATGGGACACCTTTATGAGCCTGTGTCCCACATGGGTGATGAGTCCATACTTACCTGGTTTCCAAAGGCTTTGGCATGGAAAACTGCTTTTCAGTTGGTAGAAACACCAGGCTGATGTAGTGTTGAAATGAGGACAGGACACAGGGCATTTGTAAGATTATAGTGGGAGCTAGAATGGGATGGAAAAGAGGTGATTGGAAGGTCTGTTCCAGTTCCAGGTAGTGGACATTTCTTTCCCAGAATCCTTTACCACTCTGATTTCTAGTCTTCTAACCTGTGTTTAAAGTTAAGCATTTCCAAGTGCTGCATTCTTCTTACTGGAGTGGGGATTTCTTGTCACTGCTGAAGTGCCATTGAAGTAGTTGGAATTATCTGGCGAAGGCACTGCCTGGTAACAAGGCCTTGCTGTACAGCAACTTGTTATTTCCTCTCCTATAGACTAGTGAGACATGGGCGTTTATGACTCTACTGATTTTAAGACAAAGCTGCCTACATTTTTTTCTGTGGGGAAAATTGACTGGGATAGCTGTTGTGAAAGGGGCTCTGATACGTGCCTGCTCTTCCAGAAGGTTACACTGGGTGGATGCAAGAAGATTTTATTCCAGCTAGATTACACAGATTAATGGAGCAAATCTGAAATAAAGTAACTTCAGGATAAAGTATCCCGAGCTTCCCAAGCAGCAGTAACAATTGCTTTTCCTGGCTGTGGAAAGCCAGGGCTATCCTGAACTAGACACTGTTCCCAACAGTTTTTACCTAACAAATTACTTGTCCACTCTGCTTTTGCTTCCAAGATGGCAGTTGCAAAAAGAACCTGGAATTCTTTTAATGTGCTCAATAAAAATCGCATACTTTTTTTTTTTTTCCAATTATTATTTTTACAGGTGGATTTATCTAAATGACCAGAACCTGTGTATCCCAACTAGTTCTTCCTTTGTGTATGGAGCTGTGCCCATTGGAGCCAGTATATATGTGATTGGAGATCTCGATACAGGTCAGAATTAGAGCTGATAACCTCCTGTTGCTTGTCTTCTTCCAGTATTTTAAATATGGGGCACTAATGGGACTGATTATTTTTTAGAATAGAAGGCTGGGACTGTGTTCTGTTGAGCTACTGTTGTCTTTAGGGGAATTATGTTGGACATACAGAAATGTTCAGGCTGGTGTTGTACACCGGAGCTCCTCATAAACAAATCCAGTGCTGTAAGCATTTGGTTGATGAGCAGCTTGAAGATGGGAAGAGATCAAGACTAAGAGCACGTTACTGCATTTGTCCAAATGTAAGAAAAAATGTTAGTGCCTGAGGTTGTTTCTCCCATCTTTACAGTGGTAAGGAGGTGGGTCCTACATTCTGGGGACTTTGTCCAGTGGGTCATGTGGATGTGATAGTGGCTCTTGGCTCTCAATCCCAATGGAATGAATGTGTACTAAGAAACATACTCCATACTCAGTTTTCAGCATCTGGCCACACACTGTAAAAAACTTTTGGAAAACCTACATGCTTTTATGGCCCTCTGTACGTGTACCAGTGTACAACAGGGCTCTTGACAAAATATGGAGCAGCAAAATTCCAGAGGTGGTGGCTTTAAGTGGGTGATGAATGTCATCATAGTTTCCTTTTGCCAGTAATTCCAACCCTGCATCCAGAAACAGGTCGGTGTGTCCGTGCATGCTCTTCTTCCCATACTTGCCTTCTCAGAAGTTAAATGTGGCGACAGCTGCCACATGTTTAAAGCATTTCCTCTCCTTTTTGTGCACATGTGGCTCCAGGTACCAATTATGACTATGTCAGAGAGTTCAAAAGAAGCACGGGGACCTGGCAGCGCACCAAGCCCCTCTTCCCGTCGGACCTGCGGCGCACCGGCTGCGCCGCCCTGCGCATCGCCAACTGCAAGCTCTTCCGGCTGCAGCTCCAGCAGGGACTGTTCCGCATCCGGGTGCCCTCTCCTTGAGCTGCCCCTGGAAGAGGCTGGAAGAACTCTGCGCAGTCCACCATAATATAGCTCTATATAAAGGAAAAGCTGAGAAATTACAGCTGAAACTTAACACTGTATGCTGTGCTTTGGTATGGTAACTGTTTTTGTTTTAAGTGCTTAAAAAGCTTGAGTCTCAGTTCTTGTTTCGGGAACAAATAACTTCAGTATACATTAAAAAGAAGCGAGGGGGGGATCATAAAAGGGAGGATCAAGGAAACACCTTCAGTTTTAACCATTTGGAGTTTAAACCGTTCTATTGAAGGAGGCTTTTTGCATCTGAAACCAGTGGGAATTGGCATTCCTTTGGCGGAGTTTATGGAAAAGCAAAACAAACAAACAAACAAATATTTAAGATGCATTTCCCCTGAGGGGAACTGATAAGAATAAATGTGCTAGCTTGGACGAGATAGCTCCAATCTACAGAAGCTGTATGAAAACCAACCTCCCTGGTGTACCGCAAAGACTTGTCATTTGACCGAAAAGCCGTAGGAGAAGTTGGTTGTTGCACCTTTTATTTCTAGTCCTTCCTCAAAAGTTAAGGTCTGTGCCTAAAAATGGTGGAGGTGTGTATATATCGGTTTTTTCATTCATTTGCAACGTTTTCATTCCTACAAATCTTTTTAATATATTTGAAATGGACTAACCTGAAACGGATACAGTGTACTACAGAGAAGTAAACTGTTTTCTACGCTGTCGTTTGAGTCGCCTCAGGACCTGGTGTACAGATGGGTGGCATGTTTTGCTGAGAGGGCTTTTTGGAGCTGTTTCCTGGGAGTAAAAAAGGGAAATGGTGTCTGGAATAGTTAATGATGATTGCTGCTTTTGGTAAACGACAACTAAAGTTGACAAGTTAAGGATAATGGGTGGTGTTCCTTTTTACTTCAGATTGCTTGCAAGCTAAGAATGGTTTTTAAGACTGAGCATTAGAGAGAGATGCATTTTATCTCTGTTGGAACAAAGGTGAAAGATGACAAGGACATATTTGTTTTGCAGAAAACATGATTTTTGGATTAAGTTAAAAATTCTACAGCAACTTTAAATTGGAATCACAAGGTGGTTTACTAATGATTTCTGTGCTAAGGTACAGTCTTGTTTACTGCTCTCTGACTTTGAAAGCTGGGTTTTATGCTGTGGTTATAGTGAAGAATTTAGTATCTTGCAGTTTATTTTTTACTAAGTCTTGTTCACATCAGTAATGATATTTAATTTACTTTTGTTCATAGTCAAGATCAGCTGGTAGAACACTTTTACCTCAGTTTTTGAATTCATTATTGTTGTGATGGGTGGGATGTAACCTGTATTTATTTAAAAGGAATAAAATGAGAGAGATGGAAATATAAATAAGACCTCCTGCCCTTCAGAAAAAGAGACTTTGTATAACCAGTATTATAACTACATACAATATTTCCACTCTGCAACACTGTGGACCTCAGACAAGCCAAACTCTGCCCTCAGTTGTGTTGGTGTAAACCTTTGTCATCTTTGTTGAGTCATCTTGGATACACTGAGATACGATCCCAAACTAGTACAAAATAATTATATTTCACTAAAAATTCCTTGAAGAGACATTCTGAAACTTATTTTTGCTCAGACCTTCCATACCACTGATGTATGGTTGGAATTGTTCTGATTCTGAGCAAAGGGGTGGGAAAAAACCAAAAACAAAGAGGGCAGCAGCCAAGCCATTGACCATTATTTATTATTTTTTTTTCTTTTGTACAATGCTGAAGTGCTGCAAAAGTTGAACTATAGACATCAAATATCTGGCCTATATTAGTTGGCACATTAAAAAGTTTATATATTTATGCATTGCAGTAAACTTGGTGTATGTATATATGTCTTTAGATTTTAAATTTATATATAATGCTTTACTTCAGAAATGTGAACCACTATTTCCATCCTTGGCTGTCTTAAGAAATAAATCAAGTGCTGTAAGTTTACCTGTAAAACTTCCCTTTTTTGAAAATCTTCCATTGTTCCATTTTCTTAGACAAAGTGCCAAGACCCCATATTCAGAAAATATGAATGTTCCTAAATATCTGTTTAAATTTTGAGCTCAGTTTTCTAAGTGGCTTAGAAAGCTTTTGAAAATGTTATTCAGAATCTTGCAGGGTGCTAACTCTTGAGTCCCTGTGGCTTCCCTCTGCACTTGAGGGCATTCAGTGTCCAGAAAACCTAAGTAATAAATGCACAGAATGAATCCAAATCGTATCTATTCTAGCAGTGTTTTGCAGTTAAAGTTATTGAACCAAATGTTTACACTTCAAGTAGGATTAACAGTAGGTATTCTTACTTTTTCTTTTAAATTTTATTTTTAAACATAACAAATCTGGTAATTGGAGTGTGCTGCAAATGCTCTGGGTGAGATTTGGCCAAGAAGTCCAAGCCTGGTGGCTGTGTCCCCCCGTGTGTGAGGGCTGAACCACATGGGAAGCAACTCATGAACTTTCTGTTGGCAGTCCAGGGGGTTTAGGTGGTTTGGCAGTTTGGAAACTTGTTGTCCTTGCTTGGCACAGTAGCTTTAATTCCTTCCAGCTCATGAATCAGCACTCAAATTCAGCCAGTTCCCCCACAGGTGACTCCGTGGCTTTGTAGCCAGCTGTCTGTGCAGTCTGCTGGCTTCCAAGCACCACATTCCTTACCTGGCTATGTGTGATGGTCGTGTTCCTAGAGAGTCAGTGTTGGATTTCACATTCTCATTCCTTCTGTTTTTATAACCTAAGAAGGAGGTGTCCTGAAGAGTCTCCTGTTTTTGCCTGGCCTGTAATATTTTATCAACTGTTCCTGAAGTTTTAGTTACTGGGAAAATGCTGTATCAATCTGTTCCTGGTCAAGAGTTTTTCTGTAGCTTTAAACTGAAGGCAAATTAACATGAGATAAGACAAAAGGATAGCAGTGAATCTGAAAACAAAGGCACGTTTACAAAATCAGCTCACTAATAACTGTGGGCAAGCTGTATCTCTCTTGCTTTTGACTGCACAGAACTTGCTTGTCACACAGCCTGCTTTCTGAAGCAGAGTTCTTGCTGAAAATAGGAAGTTTTTCATCAAAGCTTCTGCAGTGCCCGGCTTGCTTTGTCACCTGCCCTTCCAGAGGGCGCCAGGCAGCCTGGCTTCCTTTTTGCAATGTAACTGGTGTCTGCGTGACTTGGTAAATGCACAAGCACAAAAGTGAGGGGGTTCAGGGAGCATTTTTCCCTGTTTTAAGTGCAGTTTCTCTGGTTGGTTCCATAAATGCTGTGGCTGTACAGCCTGCATGGGCTTGGGTGACACGCAATAACAAATGCAAGTTGTTACAAGTGCCAAACTTTTGGTTTCCTCTGTATATAACAATAATTCAACTGTTCTATTAAATTACAGAGATGCTTAAAATTCACTGTGTTCTGAAAAAGAGCAGCACTTGGGTTTTTTTGTGTTGTTTTGTTTTGTTTTTTAATGAATGCTATTTAAAACACTGTAAATCTTTACCTATTTTTTTTAATACTGTTGTGCAGATTTGTGTTACTCTTCACAGCTGCCTTCAGACATCACTCCATGTGATGCATATGGACACTTTGCTCTTTATTAGAGCACTAGTGCCATGCAATTATATGATGAATGGCAGCTGACAACAGGTTTTAGTATTTAAAATTATAAATAGTTAGATAAAGTGCAATTTGTTTGAATTAACCTTATGCAGAAGGAAAGCTGTGTCTTGGGAATTGTGACTGTAGCCAAGGACACAGACTCACTGACCAATGTAACTAAGGGATGTTTTGGTGCCACTCAGTGATGCTTTCCAAGGAGTTAGAGTTGGTTTGGGGCATGGATTCTTTCTGCCTCTAGTGTTAGCATCAAGGTTTTAGGGTTTGTGTTCTCTGAACCGTTTGGAGTAGTTAAACAGCTTCTTCAGGTGGGTGGGAGGGGTGTTAATTATATACATGTTTGATTTGCAGTTAGAAGCTACTAGTTCCATCTTAACTTGGAGTGTTTCCTTTTAAGGTTAAGGAACAAGCACAGGCCTGTGTTTCAGTCATCAGTGCTGCAGCCTTGTGACATTTGCCATTTTCTGTTGCTCTTGTTTGTTAGTGGAGCTGAGAGCCAGGTCAGTAGGTCTGTGTTTCTGCTTGCAGCCCAGCTTTTAGGTGACATCTCTGATCAGCCATGCCCTGTGTGACTCTAATACCTGCTGCTGTGCTCCAGTAACCAATTCTCTTCAAATTTTTTATTAACAAGTAAGCTAAAAGAATAGACTAAAACCATGCAAAGTGCCTAACTAGATAAACACCTGAAAGGGATTAAAGGTAATAGGATAATTAAACTACAAACTGCTAGCAGCAGGGGATTATGCTGTAAATTTGATGGTGATACAAAATCTGAAAGGTATTTTTAAAACAGTGTATTTTAGATTGCTGCTTATTAGTTAGAAAAATAATTAAAATATACATAATGGCTTTGTTTAGAATAATATTTGAAGGTTATTTGAAATAATCTATTGAAATGTCTTGAAAAGTGAGCTGGAAGATTGGTACTTTTCAATGTAAAAGGCTAAATCTTGTTGCCCAGTACCTTTGCAGGGTTTCATGTGAATAGTGAACACCTGCCAGAGCACATCAGGGAGTGAACATGCTCAATGCCACTGCCTACCTGTGCCCTTGAATTTGCATAATGAAATGAGACTGTACTGAGCCCTTCCAAAAGCTGATGGATCTGATTACAATAATAGGATAGAGAAGACACCCCCAATGTAAGTAATAATATTCTATGGACAAAACATGAAAACATAATATTTTATTTCTTTTAAGTACAAGGTGCTTTTGAATCACCACCTAATGCCCATGATTATTATTTTTTTCCTTTCTCTTTCCTCTTTCCTTTCTTTACAATTAATGCTAAGACATCCTCTGTTTTTGTCAAGGGCAAGTTTCTTTCATCTCTAGTTCTAAACTCAGAGTTCAGACACCATTTAAGCAGGCTGCAGGGTGGACTGCTCTTACA